TGCAGTGAGGTCACTTTGCAGACTGTCTCACTTCACTTCAAGTTTCATGTACTTCACCCACTGCACAGTCGTCATGAATTGGCTTTGCAGACTGCATTGAAGTCTGATCATGACCACGTGCTGACCGTGAATGGCAGCGCGCGCTTGGCGCGCGCCACCAGACGTACTCGCCCCCCGTCCAAGTGGTGTCAGAGTCGCATAGAGTCGTATCTACTCCGCGTCATACCCCGTGCAGAGACAATAATAGAATGGCCGTGGCAGATAACCTCCATAGCATACTGGCAGTTTGCACTAGGCTCAAAGAATTCGTCAGGAGTCCATATGACAAGGTGTCGACTCAATTTTTGGAAATGTATTCGCGGGCAGATGGTATGGGCATTATTAGTGCATTTTTTAGTACTCTGTATACATAAATTTCCCCCGAGTTCGTCTTATGAGGACCAGTCAGTCACTCCGCCACACGTACGTGGGAATGGTACGGGATATTCCGCGGCTGGTCTTCCGACTTCAATGAAGACTTTGAAGCGCCTGCAACTTCACTTCATTCGGGTTGAAGTGTCAAAAACTCCACTGTGCGACACTGCAACTTCACTGCAGGAGCAACACTAGACCTAGTGTGTGTCAAGAATCACGCAAGGCCCGCATGCGCCTTGTGAGGTCGCGCAGTTCCTACTGCATCAGAACTGGCACAACCTCGCAGGATGCAATGACCATACGCAGACCTACTCCACAGGGAACCAGACCCTCGTATTACCTTTCCCCCGATTGGCCCATGCAAAATACGGCACAAAATTAAGATACATCTTACGTTCTCCCGCGCCTTGCCTTTCAACAGCAGTTCCGAGAACATTGAGGACAGGCACGTCGAGCTTCCATTCTTTAAACTTCTCGCTGTCCATATGCTCTTCGATACCGCCATCGAGCGGCAGCCGCAAAGCTCGCAGATCTGACACGGCAGGATTATCGATGCTTTCGAGGCAGTAGATGAACGGGCCCCGAGCGAGCGCTACACAGCCGCGATTTTCGAAATCCAGATGATGTGGATGGATGACCCGAGGATGGTAGGCATACTGCACTAGGACAGTCAGGGACGTCTGGGACGGGCCTGCATGATCACCCAGATCCAGTTTCGCCACAGATTCGGACCCAGAATATATTAACTGCGCATCGTCGCCGGCGCTGACCTATCAACACAGCGCTCAGACTTTATGTGGCGCCCCATTCAGGACATGAAGCGTACCTTCCAGGTATCCACACCAACGGGCTTCCTCAAGCACAACTTGAACTTCCCAACGTCTTCGGCGCTGCCCGTAAGGGTAAACGAGCTACTGCCACTCCATGGGTCCGATTCCTGCTGCAACACTACCACCCGGCCAGACCTTGTCTTTATCTCCACCGTCGACGAGACATAGAGATGGACGTAGACCACATGTCTGGAAGTGATAGAATATATGTACTTGCCCAGGGAGCCAAGTAATCGTGAAACCTTCAAATCCAGTATAAGTAAGACTGACAATTTGTTTCGAGGGAATAATAAGGTATCACGTTAGGCGGACAGCAGGCAACCTGGAACCACTCGCTCCGCTTCACAGCACCTTCGAGTGTCGCCAGCGGGTTGTCATAAAAAAAGCCTTTCCCATCAAGGCTCATGCCGACAAGGACACCGTTATACAAGGCGCGCTCCATCACTTCTGCATACCTAGGTTCATCGGATGTCACACAACGTTTCGACACCCACAATGAGAGGAGAGATGGGGCGCACTTGCAGTTGAGAGGGTCCAGCAGGAGCATCTGGCGAGCGAAGAAGACAAGGCCGATGGCGGCGCAAGTCTCGAGATAGCCTGGAAACGCGAGTCATTTTGTGGCCTTCTGAGGAAACAGTCTATCGATACTCGCTGGTCTCGTTGGGGAGGAAGTAATCAGGACCGAAGCCTTCCCACTCCCCTATCGCGCCCAAGCCTCCCTTAGGGTCGCGGTCGATTTTGTGGGTAATAACGACGGAGGAAAAGTACGTACCGTAACGTGCATCTTTCTTTCGGTGGTATTCGCCCATAGCGCCTCAGCGACAGCTTTCAAGGTCCCGTCTTCGCCCTTTGTCAAACGCGCAAGACCCGCAACAGCAGTCAGCCAGTACCTATTATCGGGCATACGTCAGTCACTCTGAGTACTCATGTGGGAAGAATAGGAGTAAATCGCACATGGCTCTGACCGAATGTCCCCTGATACCTTCCTTGGTCATCTCTCTGATCGGCTTGTCAGCTTGCATGTACTCGAACCTGTCCCCGCCTCGTCTCATAGGACCCACGAAGGCGTCCTCGCCCCTCGCTTCCGCTTCGATGTCGTAGTAATGCTTCTGCCAAGCTTCGGAATCATCGCGATATGCCCTTTTCTGTCCGCGTTCTTCTATGAAGTACTGTGCTAGGTCGAGCAGGGAAGGATCATGCGTGGTCTCGTATGCGCGGAGTAAGGCGAGTTCCAGGCACTGATGACCCGGGTAGCTGTGTGTGTCAGCGTACGGAAAGTGACATATAATTCTCAGCGTGTCAGGGACCTACCCATGCTTTTGGTCTTCCCCCGGGCCAAATACCGACCGTATATGCTCAATGTACTTCAGTGCTGGGCCTAACAGACGCATAGAATGTGCTGCAGAGCGTCAGCGCGTGTCGAGATTGGTCCATCGATGATTTAGACCTACTGTATTCGTGATGTGCTAACGCGGCTTCCAGGAGATGACCTGCGCAATACATCTCATGCGACCAACTGGGAGCTCTTCGGCATTGTCCTAGTTTGACATATGACTACTACTCACGCAACATTTGTCCATCGTCGCCCTGGCTCGACCACCTACACCCGTCCGGATTAAAAGATCATCCCTTCATCTCGTGAAGGGTCGCGCACGCACTGTATAGTATGAATTGAGGTATCCATCCTCCTGCTGGGCACCGCGAAATAGGTCCACCGCTTCCTCTACCAGACGCGCCAAGGCGGGATCAGGATGTTCGATCAGAGAGTAGCAAGCAGCTTCGAGCCATTTTGCAACATCAGAGTCCCTGTGTGTGTTAGCTTTGCTCAGACCGGGATCTCGAATTCAAGACAAGCATTGAGCCAACCAGAACCGATGTCTAACCACAATACACGTCAAACACCTAAATCGAGCGCGCTGAGCGATACATACGGCTTGTTCGGATCCCCTTCCCTCCACTGTAACTTCAAATTGTCCCATCTTCCCGTCTCTTTCATCTGTTGATATATAGCAGGAAGTGCGCCATCTCGTACGGCGCGAACACGTCCAACCCAGAAATCGCAAGTTACACGGCAATCTTTGAGATGAATGGGGACAAATTGGCTACTGTCATAGCTGGCTGGGGTGGCCATAGTCTGTTACAAGCACAGGAAAGACCGATAACTGATATAAACGCCCTTATCGTCATGCGGGCCGTCCTGCGATACCCGAGCCGGGTTTGCCACATTGAAGTCGATTGGTCAGTCCTTTCTTCTTCCTGAACGACTTGACTATCGCAGCAACAGTTCACCGACGAGAAGGATGTTCTTTGCTGAGCACAAGGCTCGAATGCAACACTAGCGCCTAGATACATTCGAGGTTGTATCAAGGACGGACAAGGGCGTAAAAGACTTCAATCATCGTTTGAGCACGAATCAATATCAATATGATAAAGTGAGGATTGTCCGTTTTATACAAATATTCTACTTCTATCCGAGGTCCATTGAATTGGAAGAAGATGGACGGGGCATCTAGCTGCTTGCCTCTAAGAATACGAGTTATCCCGCCATATCTATCAGGCAAGAAATCCACAAGCATCTTCAGCCCAGCGCTCTCAGGTGGCAGTTACTACGACCTCATACAAGAGAGCGACATCGCAGCATTTCCGTTGCACCCCATCAGGTCATACGCCACACTGAGCGTTTCCGTAGTCGGACGAGGCGGCTCCTTAATCCGCGGGACTCTCCACGTCCCAGGCCAACTCAGAGCGGACGCAACCCAGTACACCACCCATGGAATGATCAGCTGCCCGTCACATTCTATCCGCATGACGGACGAGACGAACCCCGTGGTCCACTCTAATGAACATGCGTCTCAGCTGGGGATCCATGAAGAAGAAGAGAGGCGTGAAATGAACCTTCACTGAACGCGCCAAACACCCAATCCTGTCCGTTGCTTAAGATGAACCATGGAGTTTGCTGGTGGAAACACTGATCCCATATCTACAGTCCCGGTCAGCATTCTCCTCAAAACGCCGACTGAACAAGGTCTTTCTTACCGACGCCCACAGCCACTCCTCCCTGTTGAACGCGTTCCTTCCATACCAGCACGTATCGAAGCTAGGAAACTAAACTCTGTAAGTCCACCAAAACTCAATTTCGACTCGTCTCATGAAGCCTACCGTTTTGCATGTAACGAACCTCAGCAAGTCTTTGTGCGACAGCAGCTCGGGCTCCCGGTACTCTATCACCACCGAGCCGTGGATGATACCATCCAGGACGGCTTGGTCCCTTCCAGTAGGTTTGATATGGCCGAAGATATTTGCGCCGAAGTCGGTCGCCTTGGCCGAGGCCACAGCTTGCGTTGTCGGACTCGGTCGTCTAGGTTCGGGCCATAACAGGTATAAAAGGCTCGCAGCGATCTGCACCAGCCAGAAGAAGAGGCTAACAACGCCGTCCAGCATCAGTCCTGCTCTGCTGCTTGGTTTGAAAATCATATCTGAGACTCACCTGAAAAGGTTCCAAGCCACAGGCGGACTGGGCGCCACCGGAGGATCCGTAGCCTTCTCCTTGCCCTTTGTCGGATCTCTTGGAGGTTCGGGAGGTCTTATGACATCCTCGTTAACTACAACCATGCCACAATCAGTCCATACGCCCCGGTACACAACAAGAATCCGAAAGCTCACACCATGCCACACACCGCTTGAACCTGTCAGGATTAATCCTCTCCATCCGCTTCAGCAACCGTGTCCTTTCGGGACGTACAGGCAAAGGGTGCGGCTTCTGCTTCCGCTTGTCCTTGATAGGCGGAGTAGGTCGCTGATACTCGCCCGCCCACATAGCTTCGATAACGAAGATCTCGAGGTACATACGCAGCTCGTCGATAGCACGTGTCGCCGTGGGCTTCGGAATCAGGTTCGCTATACGTTCGCGCATCAGGGGGTCGACAGGGACTTTCGAGGTCGTCATCACGGTTTGAGAGGGATACGGAGTGGTGAGTGCTAATGAAGTACAAGGTTAAGTGCTGTGGCGCGGGGTACATGTAGTTATCCACGCCACAGGGTGGCCAAAGCGCGTCGCATCAATGTCACGCGTTTCACGCCACACAGATCTTGGATTACCGATAGAACTGTCATTCAGCGTCACCGTGCGCGGCGATTGTGAAAGCATTTATTCCCGTGTATAAAGAAAATTACAAGATACTAATATGATAAATGAGGCTACGTTTCGTACTGAAAGTCATACGTAGGGATGCGCACGTACGAGCTCAGGTCGCTGGGGTCAGTTCTGGTCATGTATATGGCTCCCTCCGCTCCACAGCAATCACTGCTGCTTCGCGCTCTCCGCTGGTGTCGGCTCGGCCCCAATCAAATTCTCCTTGGCTTCCATGTCTGCTGCCCATAGCGCGGCTCCGATAGTGTTGGTAAAACTAAACAGCAATCCAACGAAAGGAACGAAGTTCAGCAATAGCGTGAATGCACCAAAGCTGTAACACAAAGGAAAAAGTCAGTAAGCAACGACCTCGTGGCGCACGAGATGAAAGCAATACGCACGCAGTGTACTCCGGCCTGTGTGACTCGATGAATGCTTGTCTCTGCTGCTTTGTGAGCCCCTTGAGCTGGAAGTAGCGTGAATGCCAGCCGGGTCCCTCTCTGCTTCCTAAACACACAATGTGGCGAACGTTAGTATATATAGTCTGGCGACACAAAGAGGCGAGACACACCATTGTACAAGATGAAGAAGGCGGTCCCGACTGCGGGGACAAAGTTCAAAGGCAGGGATAAGGCATACTTGATGATACCGCTGGGCGTGAAGCCTTGCAAGGGCCTCACCAACGCTTTTCCAACGTCACGACCCTTGCCACCGCTGCTTGCTCCCAGTCGCTTCTTTCCCTGAATCACGAGTTCTCGCTGCCCTCGAGCAATCAGAGTCGCGTCGAAAACCTGCGTCAGCGCTGGCTCGAGGAAGAGCGGCTTGGCCAGCAGGGTGAGGATCAGTACCGACTCCGCGCCGATGAGCACAAAGGCAAACAGAGGTGCCAGAGGGCCTGTTATGAGAGCGAGGATCGCCATTTGTGGCAGATATGTGAAGATGAGCAAGACGATGAATATTACGGTCGAAAGCGCGAGGGATTTGAGCAGCGCCGGGCGCACTGAGACGAACAACTTGGGATCTACGCAACCAATGTCTAAGCATTGCATTTAAGCTCTCCAGCCTGAATACTCACTGGTCACCGCGAAGATTATTCCGCGAAAAGGCCATAACCACGCAAACGACGATACAGCCTGGAAGGCATGTTGTCCGACTTCCTTAGCCCGCTCCTCAAGCTGCTGGGTTACCGGTGGATGGTTCGCATTCGAACTGGTCGACATGGCGGTGGAGGGCAAGAGCTGAAGCTACAAGTCGCGCTGAAAGTGGAGAGCGTCATGGTGCAGGCCTCGGGTCGTGTCGCTGGCTGTGACGTAGTGAGAGACGGTCTCTGGAGAGTCCGGCCAGAGTCCGGGGGGAGACTGTTCCTGAGACTACGCGTGACGTCACGCGCGCATGGACGCGTCAGACGCGTCGGTGGCAGGTCCCCTGGAGGTCATTGTATTAGAGAAGGGAGACAGTGAAGGAAAACACAAATGCAACATTAGTGCTCTGGGTATACGGGTTGCTCTAAGGATACCACATCATACATTCCGAGAAGTATAAAATAGAAAACTACAAATACAGATCAGTCCGAACACTGCAGAAGAAGCTACACAGAGGTCTTGCACGCTGACTCAGTCTACTCCGCCCATAATATGCATGCTACGCATTGCCGCCGTCGTTCCAATATCCCGCTGGGGGAATACCGCGTACCTCCGAGTCCGTATGCGACGACCAGTCGGACTCGGCCGAAGGGATGGGACTAAAGGGAACCGGATCTTCCACCTCTCCCATTAGCATACGATCCTGCCAAGACAATACCTTGGAAATGCGTTCGTCCAGCTGCTGGCCCCATATCCGTCCTCGCGATTTGGATTGTGGGACATCTTCGAAGCCTAAGGATTTGCTCCGCAGGGTGGGCGTCCCGGAACTTCGCATTGTCTCTGTTGCGCAACTCGGCAGCGTTACAGACTCGAAGTCTCCCTCAGAGACCGGCGTGGAAGACCCTGAGGAGTGACTATCTTGGGTCTCGTTTCTCACCGAGGCTACTGTCGGGGTTGGAGTCCTTTCCCTCTCGGGTCTGACGGTGCTACACGACTCTGTCTCGCTTCCCAAGTCGTCGGAGACGCCAGCGCAGGAGGGCGGCTCTAGAGGAACGGAACGTAACGGTGAGTTTTCTGATACAATCGTCAGAGCTCATAGACTTACCCTGACTCTTTCCATCCCAGCTCGACTCCGACGGTTCATATTCAATCCCTTCCATTGGAACGGGGATCAGAAGTTCTGGCTCTGATCGGAACGCTGGCTCTGGACACTACAGAATAGAATTCACAGCACGCGCGTCAGAATCCAGGGCACGCTCCGGTAAGCGAACCAACTCACCCTGTGTTCTGCTGGGTAATCGCGCATTCCATGAGAAAAAGCCAGCCAAAAGACAAGAGACTGAACTATGGTCGGATCCCTAGAATCATAATCATGCACGCCGTAAATCAAGGCCCGGGTCCACCCTGCGTAATATAATGGAGTGAGACATCGTCCGAGCGCCGACCATGGAGGAGACTCGCCTTCAGTGAACCTGCCAAACATCCAGTTTACAGTATTAGTCAAGACGAACCAGTGCGACCGCTTATTGAAGCATGTGTCCCAGAGCTGGTTGAACGGTCAGGTCAGTCCAGAGATGATATACTTGCAGCTCACCTTAGCCCATAGACGATGCTCACTCCTGTCGAAGATACCCCTCTCAGATTGTTTCTCAAAGTCCGGAATCTGCTCGATAACTATATAAGCCTGTGACCGGCAGGAGACTCGACTTAGAGCACTTACTGTCTTGCAACGAGCAAACGTTGCAAAGTCTTTCTGCGACAGTATCCACGGCGGCTGGAACGCCACTACAACAGACCGCTCCGCGATATAGGCTGGGTCATGAGGAAGGACGCTGCGCTCTGTCCAGTAGAAATACCTGAACATATTACCGTCCGCATCTTCTGCGGGCATATTGACGAATTGCCAGTCATATAAGTCTAGGAATGCCATGTGCATAATCGTCTGAACGGTCTGCAATGGGACCACCTCAAGCCATCTCTGGATCCTGCAGAAGTTATGATAAATCAAGCAAAGTCTGGGCAGTTGTGGAGATACGTACCCATCCATATTGGAAGCTGCGCCCAGCTGCGGCTTACGATACTTGAACAGTGGACCGGACGGAACAGTCAGGCGCCTCGATACAGTGCGCATGGGATCATGGGATATATTCCGGCGAAGAACTGCGGTGGCGTTCAAATTAGATGATGACCACATGAATTTTAACTACACTCACATGCACGGGCGTGGCACGAGATATAATATTGGAAATCCAGGTGAACCTCTTCCAATAAACGCTCTTGGTGTGGACGAACTGCAAGGGAATTGGAGTGGCTCTTGTGGCCAGGTATTGGTAGTAATTTGGCAGAAGGGCCGATATCGACTTCCGGAAGGACGGCGTCCTCCATGTATCGATAGAGGCTCCTCGTGTCTTGAGCCGAGGTGGCGCGCTCCCTCGCAAGGCATAATAGAATGTCCATGGGATGAGGGTGCGATGAACTTGATGGATTACATTTCGGAGGAAGAAGGCTTTATATACTTGTGTGGCAAAATGCAGTGCTTGGACCGGTGCCACAAATGGGCCACGAGGACGCGCGTATTGATCCATTGTACTGTCGCGTTTTCCATTCGGTACCTGTAACCCTGATTATGAGGTTGCTCGGAAGAGAACACTGCGTCGAAGACACAGCTGGGATGGCGACTATGCCCGCCGTCCGGTAAAAGTGTGGCAAATTGACAAACAAAGTTGTATCTTGGACTGCGAAGTGCACTCATGAGGAGAGTCAAGCCTGCGCTAATCGAACGCTTCCTCTCCGCGGTACGACTTGGCTTTTGCGGGAAGACGCAGGCAGAGTTCTTGGTGCACCAGGGATTCGGGCCCGTCCCGTACAGGGTACCGATCAGGCTCTGGGATATTCACCGAGAGCAGGCCGAGTATGTAAAGCAGGAACATTCATGATTCTAGGGTTGAATGTGCACCCATGCAGCAGAGCTGCTGTACCTTAGCCGTCGTAGTCGCCTTTTCAACACAAACGTCCTTGAACAATATTTAAAAGCCAGCCCGAGATTTCAGGTGGACCCGAAATTTTGCGCAGGGCCAATGGGACATCCCGAGGTGACCAGAACCGTCCGCACTCCCAGCAGCAACATCAGACAGAGATGGACATTTCATGCTCTTGATCTTCTGTTACATATTTTCATGGACGTATACGAGACAATGCCTGGAAGTCCCAAGGTTCATAACCGAGCTCATGTGAGGCGATACGTTTTCCAGCACACTTGGATCGTGGAAGGCTCCAACGCGAGAAGTGACACTCCAGTATGGAATTCATGAGTCCGACTACGATGACAACTTGAACTATCAGGGTTTATAGCGGCAGGAGGGCAAGAGAGAAGAATTGCTACGGCTTGAAGGAGAGGTGTTTGACCAGATAAGGAGGAGGTGCGGATAGCATTGTGCTTGTAATGGAACAAGAACAGACGCCACACAATCTCCCGTGTGACCATCCCACTCGTCACGCCTCCCTGCACGCCACACACAAAAGGCCATGAACGTTGCATGAACACCTGGGTGCAGCCTCCGGTGTCGAGGCATTCTCTCCTTCATGCGAGCGGGTAACCAGAGTATCAGCTCCTCATGTGGGCGGTCTTACCGGACACCACTTATGTCTGCACACAATGAATAACCCAAGAAAAGAAAATTTGGTACTACTGTAGTAGCTCATGCCGAAGACCTAACCATAGGGCCGGACGAGAATCTGTTGGTGAAGCACAGGTGAGCGAATCTCCCTCCCCTGCTGCATCCTGATCGGATCCGCACTCTGCAAAGACTACCGTCCGAGTCGCTATCGTGCCGCTTACGTTGTTGAGTGAACGCAAATAACGGAATAATGTCGACACTCAAAGCAGTTTACGGTCCGGCGAACGCTCGAAGAAGACTTAGGATGGACAGTTTGTCGTGGCGCGGCACGGTTTAATAAAACACCAACCAACCCTAAGTACTTGACCATCATCGAGGTTGTTCGGGCATTCCAGTCCGATACTTGTTCCCGAGCGGGCACGTCTTCGAGATAGGAAACCGAGGGTATGCCAGCCAGTTGGACTCGGCGATCGGATGAACGTCCCTGGAATAGGCACGGGATTTTTGGGCCGGCAGAGGTCAGGCTCCCGCAAGTCACGGTAATCGGTCACCGGCAGATAGAGTGCAGTAATGCCACCGACAGAGAACCTGGGGTAGTGGTCTTCAGAAGGACGGATTGCTGTGAATGATTCCATATGCAGAAGTTATTAATAGAGGAAGGCTCGGGCACGCACCAGCGGGTGATGGTGGCGCGGAAAAGAACTCCAAGCCACGAGTTTCTGAGACATCACAACTTGACCGTGTACCCCGACGAACCACAGAACATGTCACTTTGGAAGCTTCTGAGGACAAGTCGAATACTGTACAGCAAGCTCGTGTTCGCCACAGAACGTGGTCCTCGTACAGGCTGTCCTGTCGCGTGTTTCACTTGAGGGAAGCACAATTGTTAACCATCGTGAGGAAGGATGAAGGCAAATGGCCGAATCAGATAAGCATGTCAGAGGGGGGCAAATATAGCTCTTGGTAGTTTGCCTATCGCGGAAATCCTGCGCTACGACCTTGGTAAAGCGAAGGACGAGAAACGAAAAGTCCCGAAATGGCAGAGGGTAACAGATTCGGGAGTGCAAGTCCGGAGTTCCTACTACTTCAGAGTCACAGTGATCACAGGCCGTTCCCCGACAGAAGACCCGGCCCGCCGCGGGTAATAGCACCAAGTATCTCTGTAACAGTCCGGTCACCCAACGATTTGAGACTCGAAGTATGTCCAAAGTATTCACACACCGTACCAGTGGGATTCGGGGACTGGTTGTGCAACTACCGAAAATGTGAAAATTTCCCAGAAGTTGCTCGGAACGGGAGTCAATGGCAAGTGCGCCTTTTCGTCAGACCAGACGGGGCAGGAGTTCACTTGTAACAGCTGTGGAACGACCGCAGCACCTGAACATCAGTATCCCTCCAGTCCTCGCGGGGGCTAGTACTGGACTCGAGTTACTTCAATCTTAATCAGGCCAGGTGGTGACGTGATGTCGGGGAGGAGGCGGGATGGCTACCACGCAGCGGGGCAAATACGCGCCCATAACGCGTGACGTCACGCGTCTAATTAGCTGGGCGGGCGCGCCGCGAGTCCTAGGCCCTGTCCTGCACGAGAAGACCGTGTCGCACTATTGGAGTAGCAGAAGCTTTCTCCCTCAGTTGCCTGAGCAGGAAGGGCACGACTTTGGGTCGACCTCTGGATTGAGTTGATTGTAGTGTTCCTGGCGCTTGTGGACCATGCGACCGTGACCTAGACCGCAAGGGCGCTTAGTGTTCTGAAGAGTCGGGTCGATCTTTCCCTTCGAGTCGATATTACTGCTGGAGATTGCATATCCCGAGTTCTCGAATATAGTTCATTTGCAGTGCACTGTGCTATGCGACCCCGCCGGTGCTCGGGCTTTCCTCTACGGGATCGAGAGTTCTGGCAGTGACTCGCACGGGCTGGGTTATTCCTGGCAGAATGTGCCCACGGATCCAGATGAACGCAGCCACCAGTTGCAAGGAGATTCACATGCCAGCGTCGATCGCGTCGACGTCGCCCGACACAGCAAAGGCGAATGAAGCCATAGAAAGATTGCAGTGCGAGACGAAACGCGTCGAGCGGGGAGCACGTATGGCGCAAAGCACACGGATATCATTCGTAACGTAATCCATAAAATACATGATAACATTACATTCGTTCCTCGTCGTCGTCAACATCGTCGCCGTCCAGTGTCGTAACGTACATTTCGCCCTCCCGTTGTCCTAAAGTAGCTACTGTCCGACTGCTAGTCCTCTGGTGCAGCGTACTTGAGGAAAGAAAGAGTCTTGAACAGATGAATGCATAGAGTCGAATGGAGTGGAGGGGGATAGGGTGATCGACATCCGTGCGTCTCCCGAGACGTATTACGCTCTCCTCCCCGTTTGACCCGGAGCGGAGTTTGCATGGGCATGGGTATACAGAGATATCGAGAGCGACTGCGCGCCCCCGACAACCCGCGAGTCCGTCTGATTTATCCTCCTAATATCCTCCGTCCCCAACGCCCAGGAGGGCCCGAGCGCGTTGAGTACGACTTTGGTGTGGTGCGGTCACTGCCGTTGAGTGTACCATTTCCGGGTTGTGTGCATCCTGCGATATGGTCGTCGACCAAGCCGACTGGCCCTATGTGCGCGGGCGGGGATAAACGTAGTCGGCGTACGCGGTATGAGGGAGGGGAGCGTGGGCGGGATATGTCTTGGAGTGGGTATGTGCGTGGGTCGGACGATGCTGAGGGTGCGCATGAGTGTGATGAGGAACTGAGGCGGGGGAGTAGTAGGAGGCCAAGGCCGGGGGCGTGTTGATGATATTGACGTGCGGGGTTGCCAGTGGTGAGAGGGTCATATTAGGGTTTCCCCCGTACCCATGGGCGTGCCCGCGGCCGTCTGACATGTAGGATCGGTGAGAGTGGTGGGAGTGATGAGAGTGATTAGAGTGGCCCGACGACGAGGACGAAAATGATGCGTTGGAAGGCGCGGGCGACGGGGAGGTGACCGGGTAGGTATAGAGACCAAGGCCCTGAGGTTGAGGAGGCAAGTTCGTGGCCGTCATCTGCGGCGTCGCGGTTGGCTCGCCCGGAAGAGGAACTGTGCCCATGATGGGGGAGAAGAGGGGGTTGACAGAAGGGTCGTACTTCTTTGCTTGCATTGTAGCTAGTGTGCGCTGCGCGGTGCTGGTGTTGGTGGTGGGTGATAGAGGCGTTGCTTGGACGTGAGGCGGAATCGAGTGCCATTATATAGGCAAGAGGCTACAGCCATGATTGTAGCGGAAAGCAGGTGGCTGTCACTACAGCGATCCGGATCGAGCCAGGAGAGCTGGAAAGGAGCGTGACTGTGAGATAACTGCGCATAGCCCGTAAAGTGTACTTCTAGATGGAACTCAAGCTGTACACTGGGCGCTTATGGGCGCTAAGTGTCTGATTCTGACGCTGTAACCTGCCATTTCTAGGGAGAGATGTCTTGTTCCACTCCGGCGATAACTGTTGAAGCGCTCACCATTGACACGTTACGACAACGTATACGTGGTAAATCCATATGTGGGACACGAAAGTACCAGTCACGTCGACTTGAACTGAGGTGTAAGCTTGACTGGGTCGGGCGCCTAACGGAAGTGCCCACTGCCTCTGACTCGCGTTGAATGGAAACGGCTCCGTTAGGGCACCGCCTCCGCCCGACGTTCTCATCCTCCTCGTGCAGTCGGACCTTGACCTTCCCCTCGCCTGAAGAATCACAGTTTGCCCCTCCTACGCACTTCAGCTTGTAGGACGGACAAACTGCTTCCGAGATGAAGCGCGATGTCTAAAACCTTGCATAGTGCTGGGCCCGAGATGCCAACACTACTGATGACGGTGGCTCATGGCGTCCGCGCCGGAGGAGTCTTGAGCTTGAACTGCTGCGCTAGTTCATCCCGTTGCCACACTAGTCCTGTCAGAGGCCGTATGCCTTTGAATACAGGCTGGGGGATATCCCGCAAATGTCCGCAGTAACAACGGGAACGGCTTCATCTACCTGATAATTCTCTAGGCATCATGAGCTAATGTCAGATTCACCGACGTTTCCTATCTGCGGTCATGGACCTGCGCAGCTTGTAGGTACTGCGGGATGGACATGGTATGTGTGCCATGGCCGCCTGAGCATCTCGCTGCGCTATATTTGCTACAAGGGCGGATGAATGCGGACTTGCATCTACATAACCCTCCTTGTCGGCGCGGCCAGATAAGCTTCTCCCGAGGTGCTACAGGAATTCCCTTTTCAGGTTGATTCTGTCTGTCCAGTCATCGCAGAGTGGTTACTCATGCCGGGGATTGGGTTTTCACAATGTCCTGGCTCCACCCGTGCGCTATGTCGAAGCGGCTCGGCCCGTCCATACGGCCATTCCGACGCGGTATCAATACGGATGCCGCGAGTGATCAAGCAGGCGTAGGTCCTGCGGATACGGTCGCTGTGAATGTATCTGCCGTGTACTGAAAAGTCCCGGGATGCCGCCGCCCCCGGTCCCCGAAGCGCCTTCCAATCACCCGTCGTATCGTATACTTTCACACCTCCATCGCTCTGTACTCCATGGCAGACGATACGGTCGAGATAAAGCTCATATTTGATCTTCGGACGCAAGACAAGGGCGGCGTTCTTGTCGTTCGGTTGTCTCGGGATGGACGAGCTCCAAGATCCAAGCCGTGCACTGCACGCACCTCATCTCATCCAGCCGCTATCAAGGCATTGTCTGACCCCGTGGTACGTCCCTGATCTCCGACCTGTTCTTTATTGAGAACTGACTCACAGCAATCCCCACTTAAGTTATGAAGATACACGCTGTACTCTTGAAGATGTCAGCCGGTGCGGGACGCCTTGCCGCGGACCGTCAACTTGGTTCAGGAGCAGCAGATCCAGCACGCCTGCTCGGCGTGTTTACTCGGACCCCATGTGGCCGGCCATCAGATCAATATATGGACCCACAAATCGCAATCTATGGCAGAAAATCGGCCACTCCATAGGTTAGCTTTTCCTGAACGGGAACCCCGACCCAGGTATTGAGATCCGTCCTCTCCTTTATCCAAGCCGATCGTACGCGCGCCGCTGAGTTCTTGTTTCATGGGGTTTGGCTTCGTCAGATCTCGGGTGTCTCGCACTGTAGCTACTAGCGGTGCTGAGGCTGCGTTCTTCGCGGAAGAAGGGTCGCTTGCGCGCTCGAAGGCTGCTATCGAACTACTTCAAGTTCATCAAGTATGTACGGGGTTCTCCTTTTCACTCACCCCTCCGAGGCTTATCCGATGCGCGCTGGCTTCACGTACGAGGATGATTCATCTCATGCATCAGCCGTCACCGTTCGGGGCAACCCGCTTTCTCTGGCGGTGGAGTATTCGAAAGGGAACTCCCGGTATGATTATCCAGTTGAGCGTACAGTCTGCCAGGCCCGGACGCAGGGCAACCGGGGCATTCACGGGTCGATAACGGCATCTTTCAAGATCGATACTTTAGCGTACTAGGGTGGAGTCCGGAGGTCGTCGTATCAAGTCGTGCCTGGCGTACACTCTGATGAATACACTGTGAGCCAGTCCGGGCTTCGGAAGTCCCATGGTTAGGTCTAAGTATGTGATCCGCACCGACGTGGACTCGGAGCTCACTACTGGCAGTTCGAGTGCCATACCCGGACTGAGTTAGGCCATCTTCGGCAAATGTGCGGCCTGAGCCGGTTGCTTTCCCGTGAGTCGGTGGAACGAATGCTTCAGCGCTTTAGCCCCTCACCAGAAAGATGACGGCAAGAGCTACAAGTTGGCCACGACAAGGATCTTGTAGCCTGGCCATGTCTTGCGTCGCCACGTCAAGAGCCTTCAGAAGACCCCGCGGCCCCACAATATCTGAGATACTGTTAACTGTGGCGGGAACTACCTTTGGGAGTGTGGAAGCCTTGTGCTCTACCCGACGGAGTGAGAGGTTATTGACAATGCCAGCGGGAACAGCGACAGAATGCTGTGGACCACATGACGACCCGCGTTCCTTAGATCCTGAAGGTTAGGTCGCACTGGCAACCCTGCAGAGATGTGTTGCAGTTCAGTCGGAAAATAATCCGCTTCAGTGGGTAAAAGGCTATGCCTTATTGAGCAACGAGGACAGGATGAGGAGTACTGTACCAGCCGGGCGGGAGCTACGACAGCTCTGCAACTGTTTACCTACACGATACGCTTGAGTGGAGCGCCAATGTGAAAGTCCCGATAGGTAGGGAGCTTCACGGATCACGATGCCCTCCCGTGTCGGAGGACCACGCCGATACCTTCTTCAACCGCTTCAAGTAGCTTAAATTGTCTTGAGCAACTTACCAACTGACAGCGTGAGTGATGCGTGACCTTTATCAGTGTCGGTCAGAGCCCCAGCGCCTGAGTGTGGGCGGCCTTCAGATGGGCTTTACGGTATCGTGCACCAGCTCCGCCCATAATTCAGCGGCGCTCCGCATGCTGACCAGTCCTGCAAGGGTATGCTGCAACCGCAGAGTCGGCGTTGATTTCATGCAAATTTCGATCGCCCCTAGGAAAATGTGAACTAAAAAGACAACGTTGGGACTCCAGCTGGCCACAAGACTTTGTCGGGGAATTCTCCCAACTGTGTGAGTTTCTACAATTCAATACGATCAGTTGACTAGAATCACACAGCGTGCCATCAACCCGACCTAAGGGAGCACGTTGTTGCAGGCTTTACGACTCCCGGGTGCAAGATGGGCAATTGATTTAACGGGGAACGCCAGGTACGTAGCGCAAGAATGCGGAGGTTGGATATCCTGCCTTCCGTTGGGATGCCATGTATTGATGCGGGTCATGAGCGTTCCTTTCGCGATCAGCATCTTTGTCCCCACAGCCCACCATGGGCTGATAGATGACTGACGGGCTATACCGGGGCAGTCATTTATATTTTTACTCACCTTCGCATCAAAGCCAAAACGAATGGTGGTAGGGCCAGAAGGCCGAACTCCGCGGATGGAGGTTTATGGGTTGCTGTGCCCCCGGATTGACGCTGGTTTCATCCAACCTTCAACCCAAATTCGACCATACCATAGTTTTGGAGGCCCTTGAATCGCGCCGCAACGACGCCTCGGTCTCGGTTAGCAGGGTTCATCATGATTGCTCACCAATGCCGTAGAATTATTTGTTATCCAAGAGGAGATATGCATCGATAGCGCACAGGGACTACGACATCGTGAACCAGATTTCCTCCGCTGGCCATAGATCAAGTTCGTACCCGCTTTAGGGCATATGACCGCCCACGGGCGCCTGCAACAGCGCCTGTGGCCAAGTCGGATATGGGGTATACTCCAAGCATTACTTACATTGACACTTCTCAAGGAAGGTCTCCAGTCCGCTGCCCGACAATACTTCGTTTCCCCGTGACTATGCAGAGGATTCCCATACGCTCGAGCTCCCCGCCATGTCGATAGTGCTCGTCATCAGAGAAAGTTGAACAGCGCACAGTCACATGGTCATTTCAGAAAAATAACGTACGCACTATGTGACGTGCCAGAGCAGGTCCTAGAATACACCACAAGAAAACATTCTTACAAGGACCAAGAGTAGCCGCTCAGCTCTCCGCCCACCCTTTCGGCTAAACCAAGTCATTAGTTCGTCAATGAAGGTCTCAATGCGATCGATAAACTCACTTTAACTTCGTCCCCAAGAGGCCGAATGTAGATACTGCGCTTATCCGCCGTCTTGGCGCCCTCTTCCCCATCGTCCCAGTTGTAGCTGACCGCCACCGCGAGCCGCGAGCCGTCGCAGTTGAATGCCACCGACGGGATCGCCGAGTGATATTTCGGGAACTGGCGCATGCGCTTCTTGAGCTTGTGATCCCATATCGAGACGGTGCCGTCTGAGCCTGCGGATGCGAAAGTGTTGTATCTGCGTGATGAATGGTATCAGCGGGGCTGCGACCGGGACTGAGAGAATCCGGGGGAATAAATGAATAGAGGGCATGGAAAGTCAACATCAAAAACTTGCGCATCATGATCAACAGGTCGCAGGGCAGTAGACAGCGCCAATCACGTGTCAGAGTAACGACCGCTGGCAAGAGCAGGGACCTGACAAAGACAGAGCTTCACTCACATGGGATGGAATGCAAGGGAATTGACGGGCCAAACGTGATCCACATCGTCGATTGTCTGACGATGGCACTTGAAGGCGTACTTTTTCTCCTGTACCTCAGGGCTCGGGTCGAAATACTCGACGGCTATGCGTCCTTCGACGGACGCCGTCGCATATCCTATGCACAATGCGAAAATTACGCGAGGAACAAGGAATACCGTTTAGTAAGGCATACCTTGTCCATCGATCATACATGCCAGTGCCCGCGTCATGTATTTGAGGCTGCTCTCCCGTGTCTGTGTGGGCTCGGACATCTTGCGTACGTCGTAAATGTGAAATAATCTGCTGGCCATGGCCACCACGAGAGTGTTGTTGACCAGGTCCATCAGGTAGACACGCTCGGGGACGTCATACGAGCCGCTCTGGGGTGTCGAGGCACGCGGATCCCAGAAGCGTAGTGTGCGGTCCCATGAGCCAGTAATGAGGCTGTCTGGGCGATGCGTTCATGGAAAACTGAGTACGTTGCAGACAGGGAGGAGCCGGCTAAAGAATGATGACTTACTGGTATCCTTTGACCAGTTCATGCTCGAGACAGCATTCGAATGCTGCCCAAGTGATAAGGCTTTCTCGCTCTCAAGATCCAGCCTGAGCGAGCGGTCCAACGTTTAGTCCGTGATCATACAAGATATAACACAAGTAACCGTACGTACTGCTTCACCGACGTGTCCAAACCACCGCTATACCCATGGCCAGCGTCTGCGAAACAGCATGTAAGGACAGCAGCCCTGTGATCAAATTTGCATCGTTGTTCATTTTTGACAGTATCATAGAAGCGAACCGTCTATAAAACATAAGACCATGTCGATTTCGCCACTCATAGACGTACCGTGTCCCAAGATGTCGCCAGTAAATGGTCGGGGTTCGAAGGGGAGAATTTGACGCAGGATATGCTGTCGAACGGCGGCGAAGACAGTTCGTATTGCTCTAGGTAAGGATACATTAGCGTGGAAACCAAGTCTGGAGAACAAAGGACAGCACCTGGCATGGCTTATCGTGAATGGGCTGTCGGTAATTGGCGACCGATGAAAGGGAACTGGCGGGGTCCAGGACGCGGTTGTTACGCGTAAGGCGTGCAATGTGACTGTGACGCTGCACCGCTCTTCCCAAAATGGCGTATGTCGAAATTCATGACTGCCCGCGAGGGCCGCGACTTACACTTCCATGGCAAGCAAATGGTCAGGAGCACTAGGGTTCCTCCTCTGCCGATAGCATATGGTCAAACGGCAGCATCCTTTGCTTCTTTATTATCCCTTGAATTCTCTGATCCTTGGACTAGTGCGTGACCTTCTGCATCAGGTTGGATGTAAGTACTTAGTTTGTACGTCTGCCACTTTACCAGACTCGAAAGGACGTTCACAGATCTCCACATCTAATTCAGAATGTATTTGATGCTTCGAATACGACTTCATGAGGTTCCCGACGATGGAGGATATGGCATTGCCCTTCCACGAGCTTCCGCAAACTCAATGTCACAGATTTTGCTAGTGATAATTGACCGAGCTTGTCAATGGCAAGGTTTTGGATACGAAGCTGCTTACTATCCCTGAATAGCTTGAGAAGGCAGATGACAGGAAATTGCAAACCCGAAGCATCTCAGCAGCCCGAACAGCTGATTAACTTGGTCGAGTCTATTGACGTCACCGGCACCTCTAGACAAAGCCTCGCTGCAAGGTATCCGCCAGTTATCTACCCATCTTCCGGGTGCATCGTCTCAGCAGTGTCCCCCACGATGTCCAGCGGTCGCGCGAAAACGATACTGATCACCTCCGCCTCCGGGCGCACCTCGCTGCATGTCATTGCTGCCTTACTGTCCCGCCTTCCCTCCCTTTCCCCCGCTCCGTCCATACGCCTACTCGTCCACTCCGAATCATCTGTAAAGACCGTCACAGAATCATTAGCATCCCTTCCATTCGGATCCTCATCATTCGTAGCATCCTTCGTTGTCGCAGACTATCTTGATTACTCCTCCTTGCCCCCAGCATTCAAGAATGTCGACATCATCTTCTACAATGGCCCGGCGTTCCACCCAAACGAGACAGCCATGGGCATCAACGCAGTAAACGCAGCGAAGGAGACTGGAGTAAAGCACTTCGTTTACTGCAGTGTCTTGCATCCGTATCTGTCAAAGCTGCTGAACCACAAAGCTAAGCTCGGGTGCGTCTCATGAATGGCCCTTGTCCTATACAACGAACTTACTAGTACACGGCGCCCAGAGTAGAAGAGTACTTGACTGAATCTTCCCTACCCTATACGATCCTCCAGCCCACTTCCCTCATGCAAAACTTTCCTCTCCCCAGGCTCCTAGATTCTCCCCCATCGGCACCTGTCTTGCTGGACTGCCCCTACTCCCCTACCACCCTCCAGGGCTTCCTCTACCTGCCGGATCTCGCCGAAATCGCGGCGAACATCCTGCTCGACCCCGAGCCTCACGTCTTCGCGTCCTACCCCTTGGTGGGCGAGAACATCTCTCTGCACTCCGTCGCGGACGTCATTAAAGAAGAGACAGCTAGACCGGTGCAGTGCCTCACATTAGACAGGGAGCAAGCGAAGAAGGAGTGGGGCGAGAAGGGGGCGAGGATGTACGGGGAGGCCCTGAGGGAGTGGTCGGCAGAGGCATGGGAACGGATGGTGTGGTATTACGACAAACGGTGTGTGTCTGAAGCTGAAGGTTATAATGTTCCTCTGCTGACTGTACTTATTCCCATCCACAGCGGTATCCCAGGGAATAGTAACATCACCCGCTGGCTCCTCGGCCGCGAACCGACGACATGGAGAATGTGGCTGAAGAGTCTGCAGTCGGGGTCGTGATCGAAGAGCAACCATTTTCTTGAGTTGACAGTTGAAAGTGTAAGACAATACTCCTCCTGTGTAAAATCCTGACGCGTCTTGGATAATTTGTTGGATCTGTCTTGATGCGCCTAGTGCGACCACCACTGCGCTTTAGAATAACACGATGCCGTTTTTCCTTGGACCAAAGCTCACATTGAATCAAGTTCGCCATTTGGAAACTGTGGTGAGTCGCGACGCAGCCCCAGGACATAATCGCTTGGGGGCCGGAACGCGCGACACCACTACTTCTCGTTACCGGTCGAGATTCACAGCAGCGCATCTCTGGGACACTCTGCAGTTCTTGCGATGTCAGGATCTGTTTTCGGGATTCCAATAGCACATACACACGGTCTCGCGCGTCAAACACAGTTGGTCAATCGTCGATGGACACAGGTATAGCGGCGTGATGTCGTTGATGGCCTGCTTCACACGGAGGACCGTTCGTCGGGATCAGAGCCCTGTTTTCCGGGGTGATTCCGCTCTGTAGGTGAGTAATACTGATCATATCAGCTACCCAGTATTGCTAGGTTTGCAACTGCGTTGATGGACTTGGGTAGATCATGACTGCGCCCCCAGGGCAAGATGCTCACCGGGGGGCATCAAGTCATCTATCCATGAAGACCTTCTAATCACAGAGTCTTGAACTGTAGTGCTTGTCTAAGGTGGGTTCATTAACTGCGTCAATGACACGAAGACGCTGGAAGTCAAATGGATCGCAGTGCAACGGACTGCCATACGTGACCGCAGTCGAGCGAACAACGAACCGCTCGGTTCCCAGGGAGCCTCTGACAGGTCTCCATGCCATCGCCTTGATCGTCAGGGAACGTGGTGCCCGATGTGGAACGTGTGACGACGGCCACGACGAAGTTGTGGGGAAATCGTGCGGGGGACGAACCGCTCAGCGTGTCAGTTCACCCTCGGTCATCATTTGAAATGAAGCTCCTACTTGGGTATATCTCCCCAGGCCCCAGGAAGTACCAAATGGAGGGTGGTGGGCTGTCCAACCAACATTGCATGACGAAGGAGAAGAGAGATTGCCGCGAAGTTATCGCCACTCGGCCTCCTGTCTGTCCATCCCAATCGTGCTTCAAGTCATAAGCCTGGCAAAGAGAAGGCGCACGGCAGGGTCCAGACCTCTGAGCGGCGCAAGGCCACTGACAACTGAAGCAGAAGTTGATTAGACATAAAAGTGTGCTGGTTTCAAATTCTCCTACGATACAGAGGTGCTTTCCGGCCACAGCAATGGGCAGGAGTGCGCGTAACACCGTTGTCATCGGGGAACTGATCTCAAGTTCAAGTACTTGAGCCTGGGAGAGATTATCAAGCCAGCCAGTCGCGTCCTAGCACGTTCAAGTATGTGGAACTGCTTTAGAGCGTTCGATTGGGATATCATGCAGCGTGGTGATAGGCTGAGTTCGCGCTGATGGACGCAAGATGAACGCGTGCAAGGGTATAAGTTGCATTTAGCCTTCCAATACCTCCGGATGACTTCAGAGCGAAGATAGAAGACACGAAGGCTAAATGCGTCACAGGGCCTAGATACTTTGCAACTTCGCGCTCGACATAGCGGGAAACCGTAGATCAGGACGCCACTCCGCGCGCAGAGCGGATCAACAACGTGACGTCGTCTTAATTAATTTCGGCAGATTAATTGTCAGCGACGAGCTGGATTTGCCAGTTCCAAGAACTGCACAAACTGGTCTTGGTAGGAGACGTGGTCAGGGATGGGCTAGGTATGAGAGCACGCTCTTGCATTTATGGAACTATTGATGCCTTTTACGACGATGGAGCGAGCGACGAACCTGCACATTGCGAGAGAAGAGTGGCATCGTGGCTTTTCAGCAATGCAAACCGGGCTGGAGATACGATGGGAAGAGAACGCGACGAGCATGCGGAGATCGTTAATTCCGGGGACTTGAGTCTTGAGTAGCTTAACTGCGACATGAAAAGCATCTGTATGTTAGGCGAGAGCCAACACCGGGTCTGAAGACCTTGCAGGACTTATTGGGGCCTACAGACGAGCGGCGCGGCGTCTTCAATCACGTCGCATGCTAGAGATCGTCTTCGAGACCAAGGTTGCTTTACAATTTTCATGCGAGCAGACCCTATGATTTGAAGCTGTATCGTCTGTACCCGAACGCCACAGAACTTGAATGAAACCTTCAACATCAAGAGGACCAGTAGTAACGTAGCAGGATGCTCGTCCACCTGGTGCAGACGTGGTAATGGATGACGAACAGAGCAATAACGAGCACAAGACATCATATGGGTGATGGGTGCAAATATACCCTAACCCAAGTGGGCAGGTCCGCATCGACGTCAGGTCTTAATGTCGGTCGAATCCACGGGTTTAGCAACGTTTGAACCAGTTCAGTGGCTTGAGATGGTTACGACTTGACCACTGCGGCTACCCGTTGCTGTGGAAGTGATGCTGAACGTTAGGTCGCAGCGTCCGGGGAGAAAGGATGTGCCTCGCATAAAGGTCTACCGAAATATATACCCGTCTCGTAGTCATCCTATCCTACGCATAGGGGTGATAATTCCGGAGATGGCAGTCGAGCGTAGAGATATTTTCGTGCTCCAGCGGTGGCGGTATTCAGGTAGAACGCCATAAAAACACGATCGTATTGAGCCCCAAAACGACGGAGCAGAGCAAGTCACATCCATTTAAGCTTTCGGGCGGGCGGGCGTCCTCAAATACACTGACCATTCATTTCCGCAAAGCGAACCAGCATGGGACGTTTGAGTGGGTAAGATAGAATCCCACCTCTGTTCTTGGGTCTTAATTTCGGCGGAACTGTCAAGAGTGGACCAGACAACTGAAGCACTTAACGAGTGAGAGGTGATTTCCAGATGTTCGAGGAAGAATGTATAGTCCTCGGGAGTGAATTCACCAGGCGGAGTCTTCACAGCAGCATGGTTGAGCTGGTTCACTTATGTCTCAGTCATCAGAAAGGACTTAGTATCCCGACGCCTGCAAGGTAGACCAGCAACAGACTATTCCAAGAGGATCAGATAAGATACGCGACTACCTGGGCTGCGCTCGCGCAAACGGCGCAGCACGATGCCCGTGTAGACGGACGATGTGCCAATATTAACGGCTCTCGAATATCGTTCGATCGTAATTCTTGAAGTCGAGTCCTCATCTGCCAGAGTTCCGGGACGAGCTGGCCTTTCACTACCTGAGAACGGAGGAGGTGCGGGGGTGGGGTAGGGTCACTGCACCGAGGGCAGAAGCTGTTACTCTGTTTGGAGGGTGTGCCAGCCAAAATAGGGCCACTGCACCAATGCTTTGAGTCTACAGAAAGAACGCATATTCTGAGGGTTTCGGTAGGATCCCGAGGTATACCGCACAGTTCGCCTGCGCTACAGACCGGTAGACAATCTATTCCAATATTTGGAGCTTCAATGCCCCATAAGTAACGAAGTTCACCGCGTACCCGAGAGCAGCGTAAGGTTAGCTGACCGAGACAAAGTTCAGCGGTCAGGTCCACGAGGCCCCAAAGACGAGCACCGCAGCTCCCCGACGCAGCCGGCCCAGCGAGAAACCAAGCGAGGAATCCCATCCAAGGTAAATCAGATAAGGCACGATACACTCGCGCTTCGCGGCGTCATACGGGGCATGTATATTAGGCTGTGCCAATAGTACCCCCGACCTGAGCATCTTCTCAGCCGATCGTAATCCCCCTCGAACCAAGGGTCGGTGTTTCATCTCCCAGAGTAAGGGGACGAGCTCACTCTGCGCGGGGGTGGGGCAGGGATAGCGCGAGCCGGTGGCAGAAGGCGCAGCATGTCTGAGGATCGTATCAAGAGGGTGATGGTGGCGGTAAGCGGATGGAGAGCCTAAGTGTATTGTGGTCTCGTCAGGACCAGCGCGGGCGCGCATGAGCTTGAAATGCTGCATAGCGTTGGTTCCTAGCACCGGTATGCAGTGTACTGGCGTACTAGGGTAGCTGCTGATCCGCGCTCGGCTCCTATTCAGAAATTTAGTTCCTTACCAGGATCCGGGCGTTCGTGGCTTGCAGCTCCGAAACTTACATAGGGGTTTTTAGTTTGCGATAGGATTGAACCTTCCGTATGACGCAGCTGCCTGTGAGCGCTTGGTGTTCGTCATTATCCCGAACGCGCCTAACACTGTTATGCAAACGCCCTTCGCACATACTGCGTCCGTGTGTCGGACTGCGAGCGGACCCGAGCGAGTGCCTTGCAAGCGGGAGTGAGGGGACGCGGAGATGGAACAGGAGATAAGATGGGAAGGAGGGATGCCACCGGTCCAGTTAATTTCGGAGAATTAGGGCACGATGCACAGCTACTAGCTGTATCCTGGGGTTGGATTCCTATGTTGTTTCTGAGAGTCAGCTTGGAATAGGACTTCGTAATCAAGGAGAGGATAAGATATGTCGGGAGGCGAACAGCGCTAGCGCGAGGGACTCTGTCGAAACAATGAGATGCGATAATGTACCCCGAGACGGTATAGACGAGCGCCAGACGAGCTTATAACTAGGACGGACAGGATACTATTGATAGCATAGCATCCAAAGTCAAAGTCAAGGTTCGGAAGGAGACCACCACCGTCCCGTTTCCGTCACATCAACCACTCAGAAGGAGGTTCCCGCAACGGCAGAAAGCTAGTGTGACATCGAGGGAACGCGAGATATGGGGTGGCGAGATCTGGGCCCTCCCGAGTTCTATGACCGTGGAATATCGCTTTGATGTGATTGTGAACTGTTGCACTTGGACTTGATAGCATGTTGAACCGCAGCGGAATGGAACATCCTACGTGTCATTAATTCCTAATTCATTGCGGGAACCTTGGGAGGGCGCAAGAATAGCGTCGAATGGGTGTTGTCGAAACTTGAACATATCTGCCATGCCAAAGTTCATTTGGGATGATGGGAAGTTTGAATGTAGCTGACGTAGTGCGTTGCTAGGCCACCGGGGGTTGCAGAAACCGTAGAGCTGAGAACAAGTTGGTTCCTATTCCGAGATGCACACGATCGTTGCGGGTTACACTTCAGGACAAAAGTTGATTGTTCAACTGCTACGACAACGGCCTGGATCTCGGCACCATCGCGATCGTCCGCAACAGGACAAAAGACAGAGGGGAATAATGGGGGAATAATGGAAGGGACGCCTACAGAGCTACGACGGCGACGGAGAGATGGGTCCGTGTTGTATTCGCGGACAATAGCACGCGGGCGGGACGAGCTGGTTCGCGGGGAGGTTCGGTGCCGACGCTGGTTCATTACCCCCGATTCGTCGTCATATCACGTGAAGTTGCTCTGATCGCGCTTTTGGAAGCTGTGCGCCAAGAGAAGAGGGGCCGCCTCGACATGCCAACCGAACAAGAAAAACCAACTGCAGCTCGCCCCCTGAACCACTCCGACCTCCTCCACTATTTGAACTCCCGCCAGAATCTGCATTCCTCCTTTCCAACTCCTTTCCAACTCATCGCCGCAAGACCCTTGGACGCGTGCCGACACGACCATAGCATCCCGCCCGTGTAACTGACAACGACGCGATCGACGACAGTCAATCAAGCAACGCAGACGTCGACATCTCGACTCCCAACAAAGGAACGCTATATATCAGTGTCACACAGCTTAGAGCTTTGCTTGGGCGCAGTGACAATAGTCGTGACCGTATCGCCTCAGCACCGGTGAGTTTCACGGATGAACCCCAGATCGTCCCCCTATAATACGCGTCCCATCTGACGATCCCGCTCCCAACTACCGTCTACTCACTTTGGGAATTCCTGTAGCGCCTGTCAGCACTGCACTCTTCCCTTTCTCGGTTACATACCCCAAGCCTTCGGTCTACGTATAAATGGACTTTGCCCGGAAACAACTGGCATCATAGCAACACCCAGATCGTCAGCCACCGTCAGCCACCTCACTACAAGTATCGGTATCCTGTATTCCTAGACCCCCAGTACCTGCCACCACCATGCCCACTCTGCTCGCCGCGCGCCGAGTCCACTTCGACTCGACGCAGAACCTCATCCACCCGCTCTCGCCCACCTCATCCCTCTCCTCCCTTGACACCGATGGCCCGGAGACGCCCCCGTCCCCGCAACCCGCCTTCCTCCCGCCCGTCTCACCGCACTACCTTTCCCACCTCCGCCCGAAGACCTTCCGCAAGCCGCCCCCGAGTCCCTTGTATACTTTCTCGCCGGGCTCCAATTCGTCCAACTCATCCTATGGTGACCCCGTGCCCGTGCCCGTCCAGCCACCCATGGCCGTGCACCCGCTGCTTGCCGCGCCGGACGCGCACCGGCCGTTCCTCGAGATCCTCGACTACGACCTCTCGTTCCCGTTCGACCCCACGTCGCTCTCGGTGCTCACAAGGTCTGGACGCCTACCCCTGCCACACGACGTCCTCATCAAGCCCGCGACCTCGCCTTCCGTCACGCACCTCACGATTTCGCTGCGCAATTTCCGCTGCCCGTCGACGTGGACCGTCCACGTCACGCCGAGCACCGCAACGGCTGCCCCCGGCGGCGGCGAGTACGGCCGCGCGCCGGAGCTCGTGCCGTTCGTCACCGTCGCGGACGTCCTCGCGCACCTGTACACGCACCTCCGCACGCCCGTGAGCAAGCTCGAGTACGACATGCTCGAGGACGGGATGAAGCGGCGCGTCGGCGAGAGCTTCCATCGCCGGTACACCCGCTACGCGCCCCAGCCCGAGCGCGCGAGGCGCGGAAGCGTCAGTGGACGTGCGCCGAGCCGCACCACCAGGGACGGCGCGCGGCAGCGCAGTGCCAGTCTCAGCGCAGTTGATCCGCGTTACGAAGAAGAGAGGCGCAAGGGTGTCAAGCGCGTCGATTGGCTCCAGGGCCGCACCATGTTCGGTGGACTGAAGTGGGAACGGGGTGACACCTGGATCTTGTGCCCCCGGTAATTAACGCAACTCCAATGCGTTTGTATCATATACGTGAGTCATGTTCTTTACTGGGGGCGCGAGACCGTTGGCTCAATAAATTATTACAGCCGTCGAGATGCAAAGGAAAAGCAGTAAACCAAGCAAGTATTATTATCAACCCAAGCAAGAACACGGCCCTATCCTACCGCACCCTCGTAATCCGTCTTCAATGTGCACAGTCCCTCCGCCCAGCATAACACAAAAGCATCGAATTCCAGCATCACAGCAAGTAATTGTACTACCCCTACATCAGCATAACAGCAACCCTTATATGTCTTATCATTATCCGCTATCGACCTCGCACGGCATACGCTCCCCCCAGATCATTCGCCGCCTCTTCGTGGTCTGCGTGCATCGGGGCGTTGTAAATTATCCTTCCGTTATTCTGGTCCGTTTATTCATATGCATTATTATTGCCTAGATAGTTCGTGGACTATTCCCTATTCTATGGTTGTTCTTTCGGTTCTTTCGGCTTGTACGATAGAGTTGGTACCGAGATGGACGGTTTACGATGACTTCAGAGTATGATTACGACTACGATCACGATTACGAATTTCACTTCAGGATTCTAGTGGTATATACGAATGTGATGATCACAATGTACGACCTGGGATGATTAGAATAATTATCCGGTGTACAATGAGCCTCGGGATCTAGGTTGACAGGGCCTGAAGTCAAGGCACTCGTTGAAGTGCTTTCGACACTTGTAGTTAGTGCATTAGACACCAGAATGTAGTGTCTTCGACACTTGCTGGTAGTGCCTTGAATACTGGACTGTAGTGCCTTTATCACTTCAAGTTGTAGGTAGTGCCTTGGACACTCGGCAGTAGTGTCTAAGATTGTGTCTTCGCCACTTGTGGATAGTGCCTCAGACACTGCACAGTAGTGTCTCCGACACTTGTGGGTACTGCCTCAGACACTCTAACGCAGTCCTTTCGACACTTGTATGTAGTGCCCTTGGACGCCGCAACGTAGTGTCTGCGACGCTGGTGTGTGCCATGCACTCTTGTATATAGTGCCCTAGACACTTGTAAGTAGTGCTTCAGACACTCGTCGAAAATGAAAAACACATATACTCACCAGGACGTGCCTAGAGCAATCGTAGGTCAAACAGAAAGTGCAATCCTCCCTACAAAGTTAAGGACGCGAGTCGCTATAAATGGAAGGTCGAGGCACTGTGCGGTAACCCCGCAGCGTCGCGAGGGTACTTCGTCTGAAGTCGGGGCGACTCGCTTCGGAATGGGAGTCCTAAGGCGGTGAGGAGGTTGTGTACTCACTGCAAGTCCTTAGTTGTACACCGGTAAAACCACCTCCCATGATCACGAGAAGTTTAATGGTTGTGTATATCAGTACACATGTAGTTTTGATTTTTTCAAACTGAACCCCAAAGTATAATACCAAGTAAAGGCTTTGTGTATAGATTGGCCCTTATCTGGACTCAAAGTGCCACAATGTCATCTATCGGCGCCATGGAATGACTGCATTATGAGACAGAACACAATAAATTTTCCAAGTTGCATTACAGAGTGAAGACAACTAGAAAGGCATACATCATCACAAGTCTAAAATATTGTCCGTGGCCGGGATTGAACCTCGAGCTCAAACCACCACATCTGAAGTAACCCATCACACTAACCGCTGCACTAGCGACATACTGGAAATATTCAATGCTGAGATAATATGATAGTCGGGCGACCGTCTGGG